GGAGCAAGGACGCTACTAGGGACTCCTGGCATCGCTACTAGGAGCCATTAAGTTGTAATCAAGCTTGTCGACATAGGACGACATTTGACTCGTGCCAAGGAGAACTCACGGCCTACGAAAAGGCATGCTTTGCAAAGCGTCTTTTGCCCAAGTTCATGGGCTGCGTGAAGGACGCAGTATCTGGTCCAGTGACTTGGTTTGAAGTCGAAGCACCTCAGATTCGACCAGACAAAGGTCAAAACGGATCTCAACGGCTCGCAAGATCTAGACAGACCACCCAGAAATGCATAGATTTGATGAAATCAAGAAACAATAAGAACCATGCATTTCTCAAGAAGCTTAAGGTTCTTGATTTGTGCTCTTGTGGATTGGGCGACGACCAGCTTGTAGCGGTCTTTGCGTTGGGGACCCAGTTCAGTCTATGCACAGCCATGGCGCATCACACTCAATCCAGGAAAACAGTCATTTGGATAGGGAAGAACTTCGGAAAGAACCATGAACAAGACATAACTGTTTGTTAAATCTACTGAAAGAGCAGGAAAAAGGACGAAGAACTAAAGGAAGCAAGAGCACAATCCTTTTACATTGCTTACGCCAGGCTTACGCCTTCTAGGAGAACGGACGCTACTAGGGGCTCCTGGCCTTACTACTAGGAGCAAGGACGCTATTAGGAACAAAGGGCATCGCTGCTAGGAGGGATCGGACGCCACTAGGGGCTCCTGGCCTTACTACTAGGAGCAAGGACGCTATTAGGAACAAAGGGCATCGCTGCTAGGAGGGATCGGACGCTACTAGGGGCTCCTGGCCTTACTACTAGGAGCAAGGACGCTATTAGGAACAAAGGGCATTGCTGCTAGGAGGGATCGGACGCTACTAGGGGCTCCTGGCCTTACTACTAGGAGCAAGGACGCTATTAGGAACAAAGGGCATCGCTGCTAGGAGGGATCGGACGCTACTAGGGGCTCCTGGCCTTACTACTAGGAGCAAGGACGCTATTAGGAACAAAGGGCATCGCTGCTAGGAGGGATCGGACGCTACTAGAACCCACCGTCCAAGTTCCTTGGATCCGTGGTACTGGCACCGGTGGCACGAACACGTCATCCTGGCAAGCAGGGACCGCCAGGGACCGCGGTGACTCTGCACGTCTCCACTCTCTCAAACGGCTGGCCGTCCTCAACAAAGGTTGGCAAATTCTGAATACGCTCCCGAAACCAATCTCCTGATTCGGCTGGGACACCACGCGACCCAGCCAAAGCAAAGCCAACACATGCAGATGGCACTGAGCAGGACTAGTCGGATCTACGTTGGTCAACTAGTGAGTCTAGCAACTTGTAGTGATACCCGAAGTAACTCTTACACACACGAGCCTTCACACGTTCAAGGAAGCAACAAATTGTTTTGATGTTGCACGCACAATCATTGGCGCTGATTGCATCCAACTCCGGCCGCCAACCACCAGCGTGATTCACGCTTAGCCTATGGTGTCACCACACGGCTACATAACGGCAAACCTTTTCAAATCCCCGTGCACGACTCCTTTTCTTGGGATGTATATTGAAACGTGAGCGTTGGACGTTAAGCGTGCCAAGCGTCCAATCACCGGCAACCCAAGCAGCTCGTCTGAATCGAGCACAGTGCCGGCAAAAAACCTTAGCACAAAGCTTTGACTGCAGGAGACTGACTAGATTCGAGTGTGGCCAAATCTCTCACGTCCAGCACGTTACCAAGTCTGCCCGATAACAAAAGGCTGTCCCGCGTTCCGACCTTTTTTGTGGAAATAATAAGATGGGATAGGCATGTAGATCATCGGCGATGCAGCTATGTGCACATCTAGGAGGGACCTCACATGCAGAGTCCAAGATGCTCGTCGCTACCAACCCCACTGAACGGGACGATGGTGGCATTGGCCTTTGCAGCTATCCGCACCAAGTCAGGCGCATCAGGCCAAAAGAGTTGGTACTCTTCACCTTTGCCTGGCATGATGTCGAACTGAAAATCTGTATATAACTCTTTGATGAAACGAGCCTCTGAATTGTTTACCACACGGTGTGTATAGTACGCTGGCACGGGTTCAAGAATGCAAGCTGCTTATGCTGCTGGTCATGGGGGAGGCCTCTGACAGTACTTACAAGCACCAGTCGAAGCACCAGCTCTTCTGCACGATTGCACTGTTTGTTTGATTTGTGTATCTTGGCAGGTTGGACCAGGTCACACGAATGTCAAACCGTCACCGCTTCTCATGGCACCCCGTCGGATCCTTCGCTCTTCTCCAAGTGGCGCTTGAAGACCTCACGAGCGCCACCAGGGAAGAGCAAAGCAGCGTTGCCCGGGCGCAGCGTCTTCAGTAGGTTTCGTGGGCTTGTGGGTTTCACCTGGGGACATGGTGACAGGCGAGACAAGGACGAAAAGAAGGAACCAGGACGAGAAGTTCGATCACTTGGGCATGCAGGTAGCCCAATATTCGGAAGTATGACATAACTTCCGAGTTGTAAGGAAGGCTGAGAGACGATGTTGCAAGCTTGAGAGACTTCCGAGTAACGGATCTTGGACTACACCACAATCATGGAGCTTTGGAGCCTGGCCTGAAACTTCTCAAAGAGCTCCAAAGAACCAGGAAAAGGATATGGCAAAGGATCTAGCGGCGACACTTCCTCAACATGTCAGGTGTCAATCTGTGGGGTTGTGAAAGAGGGAACAACACTTGACCTGGCACATCAATTGTTTTGCCGAGAGTCATCCAACAGTGGCGGGTATACCATGGCAGTGACCAACCTCGATTGAGCGATTGAGCGATTGCTAGCTGAACTTTGCGCAGCTGTGTGGGTTTCGGCTCAGTGACCGCTGCTGTTCGCGCAAAAACTCTTCGACTATGAAGATCCCGTCCAAGCTGAACCTCACTCCGCGAGCAGTTGCAAAAGTTTCACTGCGCAACTCGGGTGTCAAAGGATTCAATTCAGATCGAGGAGGCTCACTGAAGTTCATAGTAACTTGGAGACCACACTTCACAACAAACAGATCTAATGAGCACCTAGAGGCAGCTGGTGGTTCCCAACCAACAGCAACGGCGTCTCGGCATCGACCACGGGTAAGCCCGGCATGACACGGCCATGCGCGGTGGACAGAAAGACCGGAGACACCCAGGAGCGGGCCTCGCCGGTCGCATGCGGCGCATGCGGCAGCCCTAGTTACCAGTACATAAGGCCTCCGCCGGTCTCTACCCCCAAAAAAATTGATCAAAAGCCTTGTTTTCTTGGCTTCGCCGTTTCACTCCTGCATCACACGTTTCACGCGTCCTTGCTTTTCGGTGCTTGGGCCCGCCTGAAGTAGGGATCTGTCAAGCCACGTTTTCGGGGTCAAGCTCGGTGTGCTCACCTTGGCCTCAGTTTGGTGTGTCTTGGTGTCTCGTCACAGCCCAACAGCCCAACGGCCCAAACTTGAATCAGATCGTAAACTGCTGAGTTGGAGCTCAGCCACTTGCGTCAAACGTTGTGTAATGCCAGCATCCGTCAGCAAAGAAAGCAGGTTCACATTGTTCACATCGTCAAAGCAAGCATGCGCAACCCCTGGCAGAACGACCCGCTGAGCACCTGCATCAAAATGAGTTTGCCAGCATCAATGATTTTGATTCTTGCCGGGCGACTTGCATGCCAATCCAATATTACAAATACATCACAATACATTGACATTGGCATCACTATCACTATCTTCCTTCCATTTTCACTTTCGCTATTGAAGCTACTGGTTCCATCGTTCTCGTGAAAGCTGTGTGAAACAGTCCTTAAGACGTGTCCACACATGGCATGCCCTTGCACCATCCACATGGAATTTCCAATTTCGAATTTGAGCGCTGCGAGCCACAGTTGCGATATATGGCGCATAATGTCGCGTAAACACTGTGGCAATGTCTTGGGCTCCCATGGCATTCCACAGGAATGGTAGAACCCGTGTTGTGGTCCTCGGCACAGCACATTTTCAGAACACGCACCAAAACAGAGCTCGTTGGGCTGATGAAATTAACAGGTTCGCCCAAGCGAGTGAAAAGCTCTTGACAGCTCACAGCGAAGTCCATCATATATAGATAGAAACAGGAAAAAGAGGAAAAGAATATAAAACACTCAAGTAAACATTAATCGGAATCTGTTTGTGGGCCACTCCAAACCTGAGAAACGGCAGACCTTTGCAGATTCAAGCTTCAATCCGCGACACGATGTCATTCTGCGGCTGCACAGTGATAGATGTCAAACGATTTGTGGACTTCATGTCCTGACCAAAGAGAAGCGCCTCCGCCACTCCAATGCCCGGAGCTGCGAACGCCACAGCGGTCATTTCCACATTGGTACCTGACGCAAAGCTGTTCAAAACAAAACTGTATATTATATATGTAACATCGTATACATCACATACATACATACATACATACATACATACACACATACCATTGCATTTCATTTCATTGCATTACATTACATTACATGACATTACATACATCCATGGTTACATACATACATTAATTGATTGCATACATTACATTACATTAATACATACAGCAGTACAAGAATCTTGTTTGGAAGATTTTACCTATTCCGATAGTTGTATGTAGGCTTGTATGTATGTATGTATGCATGTATGTAACATACATGCATACATACATACATACAAGCCTACATACAACTATCGGAATAGGTAAAATCTTCCAAACAAGATTCTTGTACTGCTGTGCTCGTCTCACCACATTGCCTACTGTGCGCGCAGCCCCCAAGGTGGGTTTTGGCAGGAGCTGTTGTCCTTGACTCACCTGAACTGCAAGATCTGGCCTGGTTTCACGAGCAAGCCACAGAGCGCCGCCCAACACCGACTTTAGAGAGGATGCTTCACTTGCTGTCACCTCAACCAAAGGTGATTCACGGTTTCTTAATTTGGGTTTCTCAAGCTTTTCGGCAAAACTTTCTTGACTCACGATGATCTCATGCGTTGTCGGTCACTGCTTCAACTCTGAGCCACAAAAACTCCCAGAGCCTTTCTTCCATTTGTGGAAGGGGAATGTGTCTCTTAGCTTCTGTATTGAGCTCTCGAACGTCTCCCCTTGGCCGCCCAGCAGCACATCACCAACGTGCACTCCTAAGATTCCCTGCAACTTTTGGCCTACCCACAAAAAGTAAATGCAGTGATCCAGTTTTGACCGGCTCCATCCGGGCCCTTTGACTATTCTATCGAACTGGAGGAACCATTTCTGTGGTGAATGGTTCAACCCATCAATTGGCTTGACGACTTCAAACAATTGCTAGGGATCATGATCAGGAAGTGCATATTTCCTTGGGGGTGCCATGTACAGCTTACCTTTCTCTCTCTCCATCTCATCTGCTTCAGGGAAAGCTCCGGTGACATCTCCAAGCTGCAGTTCGAATCTATGACCTGCAATTGCTTGAAGAACCGTGCATCGACCGTTCGAAGAGATGGTGGGCGATTGAGTGCTTCCTTGCCTAACTAATGCTAGTAGGTCAGGGTCTTTGTCACCTCTAGCGGTCCATCGGGCCTTTACTGGCTCCTCTCCGGTATCATCTAGTTTTTCAACAAGTACCAGCTTGCTTGGCGCGATACGATCTGGTTCAGTCTGCCTGATCTGTCTGGACTGCTCGATTGACAGAGGCCAAAGAGCTTGTTTGTCTGCTACTACGTTTTGAGTCTCCTTCCTGATTCCTGCGACGAGCTTTCTCTTGCCCTCTGCGCTTGTCCACTTGTCTAGCTTAAGATCCAATTCATTCCGGCAAGAAGTACTTGGTCGGACTCGTGGTCCGTGCACAAAACAAAGTCTTCGCGCTCTTCCGCAGTTGAGAAGGCAATAGCATTTTGACATGAATCATGCACATATTGGACCTGGGTTATCAATCCATGCGAACTAGCACTAGAACCGGAACTTGGGACAGGGATGGATTCTGGCAAGACTTGATTGAGGGTTGCCGGATGTGGGAGTGACGGTGGAAAGGTCTGACCTCCGACTACTTGTGGTTCTACCGTTCTCTGACGTTTCTCCGGCATGGTTTCAGTTTGCTCTGGGTGTTCCTTTCGAACATGTCCATCCAGTCGATCAGGTGTGCGCACGGATTCGTGCCATGACATGCGATCCTCCTGTCACATCTGGCTCAAGCGTTCTGTCAAACTCTTCTCACTGCTTCTGATGCTTTCAATGTCTGGTTCTCCAGGTGAGTGTTCTTCACCTCTTGATCTTGAGCGTTCAGACGCCTGGTCCAACGAGGACGGAGTTCTCGGCGCGGCAATATTCTCTGGCGTCCTAGGAACAGCAGGTGGTTAGGTCCCGGCTGCACTTGGTGCAGGGTCTTGTCGGCAATCCGGCAAGTCTGACATTGGGACATGCGTCAAATCTCCTGGTGGGACATCTTCAGCGGTAATGTCAAAATAACATTTCTGGTGGGGCCGATTCGAATGTCCTACCTCTGGCCAAAGCGATGCTGCTGCAGATCGAAGGTCCCGAACCAGAAACCTATCTGCTTCCCTCTCTTCAGTGGTCCTCAATCTGAGTTGCTCTGGAGCACATTTGACAAACGAACCCGGCATTGATACGCAGTAGAGACCCCCGGCACACCTGCAACTATTCCCGGACCTCGCCAACGGGCACTGGACTTCTTTATCCCTTTACCCCGTCGCCAGATGGCAACTTCATCACCTACCCGGAACTCCCGGAGTGGTCGCGGTCTACTATTCAAGGCAATTCTTGCTGCTCGGTGATCAAGCTGACGCAGCATCTCTTGCCTGGCCACACTCCTGGCTCGGTTTTGGTATTCAGCCACGGCATCCTCTAGAATGGCGCTATGATTGGATTGGGTTGCTCCGAACACAAATCGTCTCCTGGAAACTCAGGATCTCTGCCGAACACCAACTGGAAGGGGCTATGGCCAGCCCGACGCATCAAGGCATTTCTTGCTTCGATCGTGACATCCACACATTCCTGCCATTGCAAAAAGTCTTGGGGGGGGCATTTGATCAACAACTCTACGAAAGGTTTCTTCAAAATGCCACCCCTGACTCTCAACATCTCCCATCTGTTCATGCGCTTCACCAGGAATATCTAAAAGTGTGGTGCCATCACGCTCGAGCATGTCTAGAAAAGTCTGTCCAAGGTTGCACCTACTTGCATCGAACTTCACATACCCATCCATACCATCTAGTCACTAGTCCAATTGCGACAACCGACCGATGACCTCCGAGGTTTCTTGCTCTTTGAAGGGGTACATCTGTTGCAAACCGGACATGCGACATACGATTTAGAGCTTTGATCTTCTCATGTGGTTTCCAAGAAGGCAAATGCTTGACGTCTAGACCTACGTACCGCAACGGTGCAGTGTCTCGAGGTGGCGCTGACTCCTTTGCAACTTTTGGTGCAACCCGGGCTTGACAAATGCTGCACTCAAAGCTCTTCACTAGTTCAAGCACTGACTCCTGGGCATGATGATGTCGGAGGATTCGAAGCATATCGGCTCTCGATGCATGGCCTAAGTTCACATGTAACTCATTTATGGCTCTCTCAACCCTCCTACGACCTTCACCTTTCAACTCTCCCTGCACCGTCGCCTGACTCACGGCCATGCAATGACATGCAACTGCTTCATGCTGGGCCATTGCTCCTGAGATGATCCTAATCAACCGGTTGGGATACACCTGAGCGCGGACTGATCGTAACACGCCGGCCGATGTGCCTTCAACGACTTGGTGCTCATGGTTCTTGTCACAGGTCAACTTGCCCAAAGTTGCCGCCACGGTCTGGCAGCTTGTCATGAATCGCCAGTTCTTTCCAAACAAAAGTCCGGTCTGTGGGTCCCTTAAGCCTACTGCACATGCGGGCACATCTATTAGGAAGGGAGTATGCTTATGAACACATGCTTGCGGCTCCGGTGCTCGCCAAGCACCACTGGTTTTGGACGATTCAAAAACAAAGACGCGACCGTGCTCAATCCTTAGCAAGCTTGACCTCTAGCTGCCCTTTAGGATCACTTCTCCTATCATCTGGGGTCAAGTTTGGCATCAGTGACAACGGTCCACAAGGTGGTGAGAAAACTGAAAAATCAGGATCAACGATGGTAATTTCTTGTTCTGCTCTAGTCCTATCTTCTTTCCTCCGCCAACCCCATCCTTCACTTAAATCCGAGGCACCTCGTCCAACCATGCCACACTGCTCTGCCAGATCTTGAAAGCGACCCCGTGAAAAGAACTCCATCACCGTAGGTGCATCACATCGGCTCTGAGCCAAGACAGCTGACATGTTCCTGCCACCTGCTTCCTCTCCTTGGCCTTGAACACACAGCGCACGCCTATGTCTTCCTCGTCTTCCTCCTGGCTGAGACTTCATGGAAGGCATCCACCTTGATTCATCACATCCACCTCAGGCGAGGTGATTCCCACACCCTTCTCCATGTCCAGCAAATTGATCTGGTAGGAGTTGTCCTTCATCTCATGGATTGGCGCTGCAACGCCGGCCTTTGTCATCACCAGCCTGTTGGTGTTCAAGTCAATCATTGGCCCAAAGCTTTTCAGCAGCCTCTTTGAAATCAAGAGTGGAACATCCCCTGGGACT